CCTCAGTACTTCCAAGTCTTGAATCCCAGACAACCCCCCACCCCCTCAGCCCCTGGTTGGCTGAAGCCGATGGTCCTGTTCCTGGTCTTTGGCCTGGGGGTTGGGGACTTCAGTTCCATGGCATTTCTGGAACTTCAGCCAGTGCCAGCCTGCCCAGCTCATATACTGGAGGAAGTGATCAGCTTCCCAACCCAGGCCTCCACCTGGACCATGCTTCTGCACGAAAGCTCAGCCTGCCATTCTTTGATCTCATAAGACCTTTAATCTCGTGACTTCACACTCAGGTCTGGGGCACTTTCACAACTTGAAGTATCTATTCGTCCCTGAAGTGACTTTGGCTATGGCAGACTCCCCAAATGTTGGTAATACCCAAAGCTATAAGTGAGACATTTTCTCTGCCCAGCTGGGTCCCAGGGACCTACACATCTGGTCTGACTCCACCATGGCCTCTTCTGGCATAACTAGTCTCCTGTCAGATGACTGCCACAGGTGGAAGATCACACAATAACCGGGGAACGCAGTGGGGAGGAGGCTGTGCCACACTGCCAGGCTCCTAGTTGATACCAAGAACAGTGAACAGGAGCTTGAGGAGTGGTTCGTTGCTGAGCTGTGATATACCATACAGAATCCCCTTGGGGAGGAACCTGGTGGCTCAGCTGCTGACCCTTTGTGGATTGCCTCAACTACAGAGATGTCTTGGCTGCAAAAAGCCACATTGGCCAAAGTCAAATCTCTTTACGAACTAACCCATAGGGATAAAACCAGGTCATTTTGGCCCAACTCAGGACAACTCTGAAAGGCCAAATCCTAGCTCCCAAGCTCCTCATGGTTCAGCCAAGGTTACCTTTGGGCCTGTATCACAGTTCAATTTTTCCCTTTGCCCACTCTTGTTTCCTTCCCCCACCTTCCATGGGAGTTGATCCTAAGGACACTCTCAAATAAACATCCTGCATGTTAAACCCTATCTGCTTCCTGGAGAACCCAACCCGTGACAAGCTCTGACCTAGCAATGCGTCAGGGCATTATTAGATATCAACATTTAAGCACACTTATGCAGTTCAGTAGATACTATACACTACTAATTCTACTGTATGAACTATGCAATATTGTGCTTAACCCATTTACACTAAATATTTTCACATGAGATTATAGACTCACTGGTAACATTCCCAACCTAGCTTATATTCTCTTTATGAAACAATAATAAGTTTAGCAGTACCAGAATGCTGCGGACTCTTTGGAATCTGGTTAAATACTCATTATTGATTAAATTGATCAGGTACCATTTTATAAATATTTTATTTACTTTCTAATTGGCTGAAAATGTCTCCTGCACACTGAAATATTTCTAGGCTTGGTCAGCAGAATGGATGAGACCCTGTGAGTAAAGTTTTCACCATAAATGAATAAGAATTGGAAGAACCTACTGCGAAAGCACAGGTTATTTCTGATGTGACAATCTTGGTCTATAACTGTTCCAACTCTCACCATTAAGGGTAGAATCACCCATCTTAGCCTTAGAAGGAACTTCTCAGGGCCCAGTCCACTGACTTGAGGAAGGTAAGGCATCTCCATTTTACAAACAGTAACAGCCACTAACATTTAAACCCTAGTGTAGGGCAGGTATTATGACAAGTGCCTCATATATATTGACTCAATCCTCACAACAACCCTAATGGAAGAACTATTCTTATCTCCACTTTTGAGACAGGAAACCTGAAAGGCTGAGTAACTTGTAAAAAGTCACCCAGTTAGTTGATCAGAGAGCTAAGGATTTGAATTCAGGTCCCTGCGATGGCAGACCTTCTATTTTACAATGCCTCTAGAAAGCACCTGAAGTCCAGGGCTCAGTACCTGTCTCAGTTGACAAGAGTTGGTAAGTGATGAAATGGGGGTGAGGTGACTAAAGAATCTTTGCCCTTCCCATGCTGTGACTCCCCTTCCAGTGTGGATGGTGATCCTTTTGTGAGTCATGAAATCAATTTAATGGGTCATGAATGACACTCAAAAGAAAGAGGTGAGGGGAGGGAGAGAGAAAAGAAAGGAAGAGAGAAAGGAAAAAATAAAATAGATCATACTGCACCACATGTAGTCAGAATAGTATTTCATGAAACTTTTGTTCTATTATATATGTGCATGCTGCATTGTTATAAACATGTCTTTCTTACTGTGCGTTGTAGTGCAAAAAGATGATTAAATTTCATTCAAATTCAACAGTCATTAGGAAAGCAAAAACTAAAGTAATAGTACACTACATGTTTTCCGAGGCAAAAGAAATACAAAAACGACCTGAATGCCTATCACTAGAGAAACAGATCAATAAATTATTGTATACCCACTCTACAACTATTAAAGAATGGCTTAGGTCTATACATATTAAGCTAGAGGAACTTTCCACAATTAAGTAAAAAAAAAAGCACACTGCAGATAAATGCATATGGTATGATCATATTTTTGTACATGATGAAACCTCTAACATACAGATGGTAGATTGGGTGGAATGGAAGAGGAAACAAAGAAGTAGAAAGTAAGGAAAAGAACAAAGGCTGTTGGTAAGTAGCAACACTAAGGATGCACTGTATATCATTCAGGGTCCCACAGGAAATAGAGGGCATATGCAAACTGTATAAATCGAGAAGAGCTTAATAAAGTGACTAATTGCAAATTTGTGGGAAGTGTTTAGCAAAACCAATGGGGATCCTCCAGTCTCCAAGGATTATAAAAGCAGGAAGCCCTTACCACTACCTGGGTCTGAAAGGGCATGTGAGGGTGGTCACCAGAGCCTGGAGTGGACAGCTATATGGAGAGAGCTATATGGATCTTGGGACCTTGGCTGAAGGAAGCAGTCAATCTATCATGACTGGTAGAGAGGGAGACAATTTCTCTCTCCACCTACCTTCTACTCTCCTGTTGGTGCACCCCATTGGCCAGCCCAACTGGAGGACAGAGGAAGAAGGGACCCATTTATGTGGCCCACAAAGGTCGGCTGCCCAGGACTGACCTGGACAGGGTCAGAGTGGGATAGAGGGCACTAGAAAGCAGTCCTAGTGGGATACATAGACGACAGCCAACACAGACTGCTAAAACATTAAACAAAAAGGTAGAATATAAACCCCATCTACCATTTTTTCTTTTTTTATGTGTAAAAATAAAATATTTATGTGGATAAGAATTAAAAGGTTACCAGAGAAAATGACAGTATTGATTTGTTTTTGTGATGGTATCTTGGATTTGAGTTAATTCATTCCAGTATCTTCAATAATAATTATATCACAAAGATGTTTTTCTTTTTTATTCTTGGCAGTAAAACAGACCTGAGTTAAAATTTTGACTCTACCATATACTTGCTGTTTCTCTAACTTCCTTATCTCTAAATTGGGAATAGTAAAAGTACCTATTGTTGCTATAAGGATTAAATGAGCTAAGAGGTTTTGAGATCTTAGTACAATGATTGCCACACAGTACATGCTTTAAGTGTTTGCTTTTATTATGGGGACAATGAGATGTAAAGAGCCTCCCAGTGAGTCTGCCTGTCTCCATCCCCCCTCTAGGCCATGCATCATACAGGGAAAATTCCCTTCCTTCAAATTTGTCAGTGGTCTCCAGACCTTCCAGGACAATATTCAAACCTTACCCTTGCAGGTATCTTAAGCCTCATCCTTCTCGACTCCTCCTCCCATGGGCCTTCACTCCAGCCACAACAATTCCTCCTAATTCTGTACAAGTGCCATGTTGCCCCATGTCTCAGGGAGCTCTGTTGGGAATGCCTTTTCTATATTACATGTCACTTTTCTACTTTGCTAACTCTCACTACTCATTGAAATTTCAAGTGCTATCTCCCCTGAGAATACTTCCTGTTACCCCAGTCTGATTTAGAAGCAGCTTCCTCCTCATCCCACAGCATCCCATGCAGGTTGTATCACACCACACTCCAAATCATGAGTGATTCTCCTGTCAGCAGTGGGCCCCTCAAAGGTAGCAATGATGACCTTTGTCTCTGGACCCCAGTTCAGATCAGAGAATTTATTGAGGGTGGATACTTAATCCTGATTTGTCTGAAGATTAAATTTATAAATAAATGAGGTAAGTAACTTAACCGATCCAAAGTCATTCAGTTAAGTAAGTGGCAGAGCCAGAATTCAACCCCAGCTCTGTTTAACTCCAAATGCCACCACTGTCCCCCAACCATCTGGAAGTTCCATGGCTGTCCTTCACACTCCCAGAGTAGCTGCATGCCTAAGGGAACTCCCAAGGGCACTGGACCAGCTCGGGCCAGAATGAGCTGGTCAGCAGAGACCCTGAGGAATAAATACCTCCTTTTTGGAAGTATCAACCACATGACATTTGCTTTATCAAGGGACTTTCCCAAGAAAATCAATTTCTGGAGCATGTTAAAATACAAACAAACCACCACCCACCCACCCACTCCTTACAGACAATTGGTCCAAAGAGATCTTAGAGAATTCAGACAATTCCACAATGTTGAGAGCACCATCTGATCACATGAACTTTGTTTTCCCTAACCAAGCATTTTTCTACAGAATTTTCATTTTAAATTTGGCTCCACTGTGAAATGTGCATCCCCATACTCTATTGTTTCACCCTCATCAAACCTGTGCACACAGCCACAGATACTCTGGATTCTTGACATAAGACCATTTGAGATTTGCTCTTGTAGCTTATGATGATGTTACCAGAATCCCTTGATAACAGTGTTTATATCTATTTATAACTGTAACCTATTATCCTATTTTCCATATAATTGGATGCGACTGAGGTTAAAAAAAAAATTGTAAGAAAAGTCATGCTCTTACAGAGCAGATGTTTGCTCAGCATGGTAAGTGAATTAGCCTTTAACACAAATACCCAGAAACACATAAGCGCTCTTTCCAAAAGCACTGATGTTAATACTTTACATTGAAAAATAATTTAAAGATAAAGGATGTTAAAAATGCAAGGGACATAGTCATAGCTGGTTTTAAAATAGGTGTTAATTTTACCTCTTTAAGGTACGGTGGTGCTTCCAATTCAGGCATCGGATTCATTCTCCAGTTCAGGACACAGAAAAATGACTCATAATTTATTTGTCCTTCACTGTCTTCAAATCTGAAACATAATTATAATATATGATTTGGCACACTGCAGAATTCAGGACCAAAATGTCAGCTTAAATTTTACCATCGCAACATTATATTGTGTATGCTTCAATATCTGATGTTGTTCTTATTTATTATTAGTTTATTATCTGTTTCTGATCCACCAGAATGTAAATTCTTTGCAAGCAGGGATCTTACCTACCTAATGCACCAAAGTATCCCCAGCACCTAGATCAGTGCTGGTACTTGGTAGGTGTTCAATAAATATTTGTTGTAGTTATCACAGAAATAAATTTGCTTATTTAGTAATTAATACCATCATTATATTTTGTTAAGAATATTTAAAGGTCCTTTTAGTTTAATGGTTGACTTAATATGTCAGTAAAATAAAATGCCCTTATATTTCTCAAATTGCATGGCTTTTAAATCATTAAGGCAAGCCCAGATTCATTTTGTTAACTAGTATATTTTTAGGAAAAATAAAAGGCATCTTTATTATGTATTATGTAGCCATGAAAAGAGGTTATTTAGATTCACATTTGCTGTCATGGAAATATGTTCTTGGTATAATTTTTAGTAGAAAGGAGGGTATAAAATAGTATGTAGAGTTATAATCTCACTTTAGATTTATATTTATATAAAAAGGCATAGAAAAAAGTCTGGTAACAATAGACTTATGTATTAAGAATGGCTATCTCTGGGAGAAGAGATTATGGTTTTTGCTTTTTCTTTATACTTTGCTGTAGCATCTGAATTGTTTTAAATTTAAAATCAGAAAAAAATAAGCCCATTTTTATTTTGAAAAGAAAATTAACAAATGATTATCCTGGTCGAAATATAGGTTAAAAATAATAAATCTCTTTGACTACTACTTCCTAATTATGGACATTGGCTCAAATTCATCTTTAACCATAATAGAGTTTTGGCCCTTAAGATACAATAATTTCAACACAATTGTTAAAATAACTTAAACACAAAATACTTCTTAGTGTAATACTGCAATGCTATCTATCCTGAATTTGATCACATTCTGCCAATTTTTAAGGCTAATTATCATGTATCGCCATTTTTTTTGCAGGAAACAACAAAGGTGGTCACTAAAGCATTGTTCCAAGCACTCTGCTCCAGGGTCCTGCCTTTAAAACATACTCATCATCAGTCAAAGGACTTTTTTCTTTTCTTCTCAAAGTATTAAGAAAATAATAGCTCATATTTATAAACTAATAAAAATTAACAGCAATAAATTAAATGTTACAAGTTGAAGTCACATAGACTCATTGATCTAAACAAAGTGAAATAAACAGAGTGACCATAAGAAGGGAAAGGGAATTTTGTAATTCTTTTGTGTACATTTTCTTTGGCCAATAATTTTGGGGTACAATTCCAATATACTGCCCCTATCCTTGTTTACCCTTTGAATTGTAGTTCACTCATTATTTTAACTCCTTTAAAGGACATGCTCTGTTTATGGAAATATGTATAGTCAAAATGCAGGACCCTTATTTCTTTTATTTGTGTATGCTTTGGAGGAAGAACTAAAACTCAATTTAAAAATGTCTTGAAACTTTCCTTTAGTATGGAATCTTGAAGAAAGCATTTCCTAATACTGAGTAGGAGCTAAGGTCAAAGAATGAGATCATGTAGGGCCTTTGACTTTTATTCTGAGGAAAACTAAGAGCCACTAGAACATATTATTCAGAAAAGTTATAGGACTTGCAATGTTCTGAAAGTTTGTGTCCTCCTAAAATTCATATGTTGAAACCTCATCACCAATTTGATGATTTCAGGAAGTAGGGCTTTGGAGAAGGTGATTAGATGATGAGGGCGCTGGCCTCATGAATGAGATTAGTGCCCTTATAAAAGGGACCCCAGAGAATACCCTTATTCCTTCTGCCATGTGAGGATGCAGAGAGAAGGTGCCATCTATGAACCAAGAAGTGGGTCCTCATCAGACACCAAATCTGCCAGCACCTTGATCTTGAAATTTCCAGCCTCCAGAACTGTGAGCAATAAACTTCTGTTATTTATAAGCTACCCAGCTTATGCTATTCTGTTGGGGCAGCCCCAACAAAAATAATAGGATCTAACATATTTTCTAAAGATCACTCTGACTCATACATTGAGAGTAGAACATATGGGGCAGGACAGAAGTGGCAATGGCAGTGAACAGTCTCTTGTAGGAATCCAAGCAGAAGGTCATGGCAGCTTAAATGAGAGTGGTGACAGTGGAGTGCTGTGAGGAGTGGTCAATTCTGAATATATTTCAAATGCAGGATTCCTGAAGGATTGTATATAGTATGTAGGAGAGAGAGGGAGAAAGAGAGAGAGGATTCAGGATGACTTTACAGCTTTTGCTTGAGCAACTGGAAAAATGGAGCTGCCCTAACTGAGACGAGAAAGACTGCAGAGGCTTCAGACTGGGAGGAAAGATCATGAGTCAGTTTTGAATACGCCACATTTTGATGGGAAGTGAGCAATTGAGGCTCTGAAGTTCAAGGAAGAGGTCCATTTGAAGATATAAATGTGGGAGTCATTAGCCATATGATGGTATTTAAAGCCATAAAAACTGGGAGACTGGGAGACTAGATGAGATCACCAATGAAACAAGTTTACCTGTTCTTAAAGCACAGAATCTGATTGGCAGTAAATTCCCACTACATAAATTATAGAAGGCACTTATTTAATCCTAGATGTTTCAGAAGTCTAATATCCCAGTAATTTTGGGACCAGTCAAAAGACTATCAAATAGATCTAGGATCATGTCAGACTTCACTTCTCATATGCAATCCACTAGGCAGTCCTGTGTGTTTAACTACCATAGCATATTACAAATCTATTTCTCTCCCTCTCTTTCACTACCCCCTAATTCCAAGCCACTATCATCTCTCATCTGTATTACAGTAATAACTTCCTATCTTGGTCTTGCTGCATCTACTCTTACTTTGTTGCAGACCATCCTCTACCAGAATGATCTTTCTAAAACACAGATCAGATCAGTCAACCTCCCCAATTGCAAGCCTCCAGTGGCTTCCCAATCCACTTAGAACACAAGTTAAACTCCTTATTAGGGCTTATAAAACCCAACTTAATCTGGCCCCTGCCAGCCTCTCTGGTTGCATCTCCTTGCCTGAAAACTCACTCCCCCTGTTTACAATGCTCCAGGTTTACTGGCCTTCTTCTTTTTCTCCAATCATAATAAAATTGTTCCCAGAAATGCAAGGCATTTTTACCTTCTGGTCCGTTTGTCTGGGAAGTCTCAATTTCTCAAATGTTATTTCCTTAGAAAGATCTTTCTGAAGTTCCTCTTATATGAGTCCCTATACCCGAATACATCATGGCACTGGAACTTACAGGAAAATTTGTGGAAGTCACCCCAGGAAGTCCTACTATTAGATTTTGTTACTACTAACTCTGATATTTGCCTGTTACCTCTTAACAACCCAGCCTTCTTCCCTGCTCAACTCATGATATGTCAAACTCAAAACATCTAACCATTTACCCATTTAGAAGAATATTTCAGAATCAAATGATATTTGGGAAGGGTCAAAAGCTGTAAATGAAAGTGTATACAACTCAGAAATGATGTATCAAGATTTTTGAGAAAAATGTTTGAAAGATTTCATCTTCCCCAAATCCCAGAGCCAGGCCTAAAGGAAGAGTTGAGGAATGTGGTAAAACAATCCCAAGTTTTTCTTTTCAGTTCTGTCTGAGAGGACCTCAAGGCATGTAGAATCCCTCCAAGGAGCACAAGGGAGAAAAGAACAAAGAATCTTTCAATTAAAAGCAATAAAACTAGTTAATGCTTCTTGGAAGAATTCTATGCTCTTGGGAAGTGCATAGAATTGCAGTAAATCATGATGAATTGATTGTAAATATATTTCTCTCCATTTTCCTCCTAATCCCACCAAAATGACTATAAAGGAATAAAAATATAACTCACAATGAGAAAGGTAACTGGAAAAAAGGCAACAGTGGAAAAGAGACTTCAAAATATTTGGCAAGATGAAAAGCAGACCAAAGATTGATAATAGACTTGGCAGAGGTGAGGAAAGGAAGCTAAACCCTAAATGTCCATGTTGCGGGGCAGGGGGCAGAGGAATGCTTAGAGACCAGACAATGTGGCCCACAAAACTCCTAGGAGACTCAGCGATTGCAGACTTCAGGTGCCAATAAAGGCAGGGATAAGCTGTGGCACTGAAAACAAGAATTTTTTGAAATCCTGAATAAAGCAAGAGCAGCTGAACCCCCAAATACCTCCTTCTACATTGCACTCCTCCTTGTAGGGAGTAGAGGCTTGTTTTCCAGAGAAATTCAACTAAAAAAGCTCCAGTCTTGGGGAGAGGAAGCTATTGGAGTGCATAAGAGAGCATTCCATCCTGAATTTGAGGGCTCTCAGGCTCCTTTCTTCCTTTTGCCTGTTTCTAGGATGCCAGTGGCCATGCTTAAACTCTTCTCCCTTCCCTCATCCTACCCTCCCTCCAGCCCTAACCAGAGAAAATAGGGTTCTTGTCTCCATACTCTGAATGGTTCCAGAGAAGTCTCCAGATTCCAGCTTCTGGGGATCCCCTAATGAAAATAAAGGCTCAGGAGCTGACTGGGCAGTAAAACCTACCAATCGACAAGACATCCCTCTAACAGAGCATCCAATATTGAGGACAGAAGCCAAAACAGTAGTAGAAAAAAAAAAAGGAACCAAAGACAATTCAGGGAGCAGAGGGAAAGATGTGAGATAAAAGGATATATAATATTACACCCCTGCAAAAAGAACAGAAGAATACAAGAAAGGAAATTTTGAATGAAAAACATGCTTTTGGAATTAAAAATACAATAGCACTAAAAATATGCAGTAGAAGGTTTGAAATATAAAGTTAAGAAAATCTCTTAGTTCATCATAATGAAAAAGAGAAAATAACCAAATTTGAGAGATCTAAAATCATAATAATAATAGGAGTTCTCATAAGAGAAAAATAAAAGTGGAGGGGAGGAAATTATTAAATAATAGAAAATTTC